CAGTTTGTAAAGGTTTTAGTTTGGCTAGAGTTTTGCAGTATATGATTATTTATTAATTGTTGTACTTAAATATTTGGATTAGAATTAAAACAACCATATATAATTAATTATAGAATGGCTTTTTGTATTGACAAAAATCAATTGAAAATCCAAAACTTTCCTGAATCTTGGAGGGATAAGCTTAATAATATGAACTCTATCTTGGTTGAAAAAGAAGTATTAGAAGAAATTAAGAAAAATGATGAATTTACTGAATCTATTGAATCTAATTACAATAAATGGAATATCAAAAATAATTCAGATAAAATTTTATTATCTTATAATAGTATTAACAATGTTAAGATCGATATACAGATTGACATACTATATGCTGAAATTAAAGCAATTAAACTGTTAAAGAATAAAGATTTATTAATGAAAGTGGGTTACATACCTAGTATATATATCTGGACTTTCAAGGAAAAGTTAAAAATACGATTAAATTATTTTTGGAAAAGTTCAATATCATTTCAAGAGAAGTTTCAAGAGAAGTATAAAAAATGTTCACCTTATTTACCCCTCCAGAATTTGAATTTGATCTTATTGAATTGATGATTGAAGATTATGTTAATTCACGGTTTAAATTAAGTCTTTATGGAACAGAGTTAATGGAACATTTATTGAAAAAAAATAAATTCGAATTTATTGATAAGATATTGAAAAATATAATTAAATTGACCATTAAGAATGAAAATAAAAATTTTATTTCAAATCTTCTATTAATGTGGATAGTTACTGATAATTTTTATACATTAAGTCAATATCCCGAGATTATTAATTGGTTTTTATCTAGAATAGCTTTTTTTGTACCTGATGATACATTAAATGAAGTAGTTAATCCAAATTCTACTTCTAGCCATCTTCAAAATTTTGGCGAATACCCTTGCATTTTTAATATTCCTTATATTTCCTTAATTTATTTTAAAATAGAAAACTTTTTAAATTCTATACCCACATTTCCCACATTTCTCTTGAAATTTATAATATAAGACAAGCAAAAAAAAACAACTGTTAAATTGGTTTTTCCTTTAATAGGACTTACCAATTACCCTAATGAATTTCATGATGATTCAGATAATATATTTTCAAGTCTATTTTGGCCATTTGATATTAATCCTTTCAGCTTTTCACCAAAGACCAATCTATATGAATTATGGATAGGTGAAGCACTTCTTATTTATAAATGGAATACATATGGAAGGGCTATCCATATTGTTCATTTAGTTATTCATACAATTTGCTTTCTTTGTTTGGTGCTTACTGTGATTTTTTATGATCATATTACATCATTTATTCTACTACCTCTACTATGCATTGTTTGGATAATTATAACCATTTATTATGCCTTGGAGGTCATGTATGTTTATAATAAAAGAGATGTTCGAAGCTTTCTTGATATGTCTAAAAATTTAAGTAGATGGCTTTATTGTGAAAAATTTAGTAACATTATTTTAATCTTTTTTAGTTGATACTATGGCAATGATTTTTGTTTATTTTTCAATAGCCGAAATAATTAACAAAAATTTAAATTCATACTCAGGCTGGTATTATAAAATTAATAATACTTATACTGATCTTGGCGCACTTACTACTGTCGCAATTTTATTATATGAATTAAAACTTATGTTTAATCTTCATGTTTTTGAATTTTTTGGAATTGAATTTGCAATTATATT